GCTCCTTGAAGGATTTTCAAACTCTATGAAGCAAAGATGTATAAATCATGAAATGTTATGGTTTAAGAAGAGATTTATGAAGAAATCAAGAAGCTAAACCATAGATCCAAATGAGAACTTACCAAAGATTATGATCTTGGTGAAAAACCTCTTGAGAATACCTATAAATCTCGAAAAAATCTAGAGGAAGAAGGAGGAGTTTCTCGAGAGTGTATTGGAAGTGTTTGAATGAAAAATGAAGGTGGTATGGTGCGGGTTTCGATCGAGGCTAATAAGAGAAGAGAGAGAGATGGTAAGGTGATGTTTGCATGGAAGACCACCATGCAAACATGAGGTGTCTAATGCACAAATTTCCTCACTTTTCCCTTTTTTTGTCTAATAAGCATAGTGGGTTGAGAATTGGGATTAAGAGGGATGAGGATGAAGTGATTTGGCCCATTTTTGGTCTTGTTCGACTTTATGAAGCCAAAAAATTATTTTTCGGCCCATTGGGCCCTTAGGAGAGTTCACGGCCCAATGAAGCCCAATTAAGAGGGTTTACTGCCTATTAGGGAAAATGGAATCATTTATGGCCCACATGGCCCAAAATGTTAAGTTTTATGAATTTGGGTCCAATTAGAACCCAATTAGGGTTTTTAGGCCCAAATTAGTCAAGTTGAAGGTTGATTGGTCCATTAGGCCCAATAAGAGGATCCTAGTTCATAGTGAAGTTGAACCGGGATTTCTAGGGTTTTCAACTCATGATTGACTAATTGAAATGTTTTGTATAGAGTTTTGAACCTCACTTGTGAATCTTGATTCAGTTTGTTGTCATTGAATAACCATAATGCATAGTATCAACTTAGAGTTACAGGTATCACAATAAATGATGTTTACAGGAGTACAAAATTTCCTAGAAAAAGGGCTAGTTGTGACAGGCAGACTCGCAACCTGTAGGTGTTTGTGAATGATGTGTTCACCGATGTACTCCATCCCCCTCATGGTTGCCTTACAGAAATATATAGCTGAAGAATCCCCTTAGCAGTAGTGTCCATCCCAATGATGATCCTTAGGCTAGGTCTCTTATGATAGGTGTTTAGAGACGTAAAGTAAGGATAACAGGAATGAGTAATCAGGGTTATTGTTGGTTGATGAAATTAATAAATTTATTTATTGTGGGTTGAAAACCCTATGTGCTCACCAGGCTCCTAAGCCTGACCTACTCAACTTTCTGTATTATAGGTAGTGGAACAAGAGCATAGTTGGATGACTTGACAAGGGATTTGGATTATAGGCCAGTAGATGTAAATGAATGTTGTAAGGCCTATATTGTACTGTTTATGGTTTTGATTTATATCGATGTTAACATCCCAAGTTTATAATGAAATGAAAATACATTTCTTTAAGAAATTCTTTGATAAATTTTATCATAATTTATTTTGGGAACAAATTCCGCAACATTTTTCTTTAAAACATTACTCTAATTTTATTATAAAAGCATAAACGAAATCGATATTTTCTGGCCGTGAAAATGGGGATGTCACAGTAAGGGCCTATTTATAGTGCAACAAGGATGCCCTAGATAACCCTAATTTGAATATAATATTATTATTTCAAATTGGTAATTATCCATCTCCTTAATTATCCACATGGGATAATCTAGAAATCCTAGATTATCCTTAGGAAACTGTGCAAGCCTTCCTTAGGAAGGTTTTGGAACCTTTTGCTCAACTGTTGAACAATTTCACTTTAGCCCCTACACTTTAATTAATTCTTTTAATCCCAAAATTAATTCCAGTTAATTTCTGATTAAATATTAATTAAATATTACTATTTCTAATTAATATATTGTTTTATATTAACAAATTATTTATTGCAATTTATTAATCAAATAATAAATTCAACATCTCTCCAAAAGGCATCCTATATAGTTGCTAGCTATAAGGGCAACCCAAAAGGACTATGCTACTATTGACTCAAGTATACACCAATTATAGTTATGGGCTTAGATATCTAATTCATCAATGATATGTACTAGGAATGATCTCTCTTGTGCTTTAAGCATGACAAGTCATTATCAGAATAATCCCAGTTTTGAATTGATGTTAGGAACATTCATAAGTATCTAAGGAGGACAAATATATATCCATTGTTTATGGAAGAGCTCGGCGTAAAGGGTTATGATGATGGTAGCTTTTAAAAGGATAGAAAAAAAAATTCAAGTTGGCATTCATGATTCGTGCTCTTAATAAATGATGGATTAGTGAATTGGATGAATGCCAAAAAGAGATCATAATAGACTCAATAAAAGTTGATTATATAACAACTAGTGATGTTGTAGAGGAGGCTATATAGCTTAAAAGATAGATAAGATATCTTGATGTTATTATAATCATTGATGGTCATGTTGAGATCTTTTGTGACCATAAGGGTGTAGTCGTCTTGACTAAAGATCCCATATCACACAATCTTATGAGCCATGTACTCAAAAAGTAAAATTGAATTTGAAAGCTTCCTAAAAGAAAAGACATCATAACCAGTAGAGTTTTATTGGAAGATAATCTTGTTGATCCGTTTATTAAGTCACTATCATAAACTAAACATGATTATCATACTAGGTTGAAAGGAATTAGATTTGCAAATTGATTAGGTTGAGTGCATTTAGTTTAGTTTGTTTTAGTTTCAAAACTTATGCAATATACATCTTTATCTAAGGTGGAGATTATTATGTGGAGATCGTAATATATGCTAGAGTGTAGTTATTGGAGATTGAGCAGTGGAGTAACCCTTACTAAGAGATTTCTTCATGGAAACTTTCACAAGTAATTATAAGATATTAATATCCTATATTATTTAAAAGGATATGCATGAGATTCTTTTTGCAGCTTGTTGTGCTTTAGTGTTCTCTAATGGTGTCTGTAATTGTCACGCCTACAAGAAATGTCTAGGTATGACATGATGAGTAGGTGGGATTCATGTAGTCAAAGTTTATTTGTTCCTTCTCGCCTTACCGGAGAAGCGATATCCACATGCCCCTTGATAATATGGTGTTGACATAAAATGTACGATTATACTCAAATTAAGTTGATAATAGATCAATAGTGTAGTTTTTTGTGGAAACATAATCTTGAATGTGTGGTTGACATGAATCCATGTCTTACATTCATATAGATATCAAGTAACAAAGTAATATTTAATAACTTAATTTGGATTATTTATAACTACACGTTATTAATACAATTGTATTCATAGATTATGTACATGTTGCTAGGCTAAACAAGATATGACCATATATTTGTTGTAACATGTGTACAAGTGGGGGGGGGGGGGGGGGCTATTAGAAATTTTCCCTTTATCACAACAAGTTAGTGAGTTTCCATAATTAGAATGGGCCTTTGGGTTACACAAAAGATATAATTTAAGCCAAATGACAAAAGGGAAGATGAGGGGTTAGTTTGTTAACACCAAAAAGTTATGGTGAGTTACTTTGAAACCAAAAGAGTGTAAGGACTTAAGTGAAATTTCCTTGATTTAATTTGAATTAATGTAAATCAAGGGATATGGATAACTAGGTCACAAAAGAAGGGATAAGAACATAAAAGCTCTTAACCCTAGCTAAGATTGAAACTTATGGCTTTCCCACTCTTTCATCGACATTTTTCTTTCCCCCATCTCCCTTTTGCTCACGATATTGAAGACAACTCTTCATGAGGTTCATTCTTGGCAACAAGAGAAGAAGAAGAATGTGTCTAGTCTTGAATCATCTATCTTAGGTGCTACTACAAGATAAAGGTTTTGGTTTGGGCTCTTTCTCATCCAAGACAGGTGAAGAAATGAACTCACACATAGGTAAGGTATTGATTTCGATCCATGTACTTTTTAATGTTTTTGTTGCTAAAATTCACTAGAACAGTATCTGCAATGGACTATGATGATTAATTTTTTTCTTTATTATTGCTTTTGTTGCTACGTGTTCAATATCATCATAACCCAATACAAACCATAATGACCATTTGTTTAATTTATTATTTAATATGTGTTCGTTTCTATTCACATATGTTTATTTTTATTTGTTTTCTTCGGTTGTTTATGGTTTCGTTCGTTTAACATTTTAACATAAGCGAACGAATATGAATAATGTAATTTGTTAAACGAACAAACATGATAATAAAATTCATTTGTTTATCCATTTGTGTTCAGTTTTTATGCAAGTTTCTTAAACGACCGAACATAAACAAGTATTTGTTTGTGTTCGTTCGATTCGTTTACAAACCTAACCTTAAAAATCGAAGGTGGTTGTAGGAAATCAACATATGCAAGGATCGCATTTGAGCCATAGCTTGCTTGGGTTGATTGAGTTGAAACAAATAACATCATCTTGAAAACAATTGATTGATACTCTTTTCCTTTAGAAAAAGTAGTAATAATGTCCTCATTTAAAAAAAAAATTATATTTATCAAATTAAATAACTTTACGAGAAAAAACAAGATATATGTGAAATAAAACAACTATGATGGGTTTTTATATATATTTTACCATTTAAATTATGTTAAATCTCAATGAGAAAATTGCAAAGTGTATGATTTACAAATTTCTTTGGTTATAGTTCAATGATTTTTAAAATTATTGATATAATATTTTATATTTTATCTTTTAAATTAGTAATTTTAAATTTAAGAGGAACCATATCCATAAAAAAAAAATGAAAAAAACAAAAAAAAACTATCAACAAATTTAAAGTCGCTAAACCATGATCAAAATACATGAAGCAAACCATAGAGAGCAATATTCCCTATCAATCAAAAAGTCATCATTCGTACAAAAATCTTAAATGCGTTGTGAGGTGGGGGTGGCTCACGCAGAAAATAAAATACCATACTTTAAAGAAAACGTTGTAGAACTGCTATAACCGGTTGCCGGTTACCTTCGAGGTGTTTCAAGACTCCGTATTTGACAACTGGACTCAACCTTTTCGCCTCTAAAAACTCTCATTCGCTACTTCCTCTCCTCATATTCCGCCATGGAAGCCGAAGAAGCTGAAACTTTCTCTTCCATCTCTAAAGATCATGACACCCAACAAGTTCTTAAAGTCCTTGAAGCTCTCAAACAAGCTTCACACGACTTACAGAAAAACCCGGATTCCAAGAAGACGGATGGTGGCGTATGCTTTGGCTGTTCGCCCCCCATTAAAGCTCTTCTCGAGCTCGAAAACGAATCAGAATCCATCCTATCAAACGACCCTCACCTAACCACGTTGTCTACTCACCTAACTGCTCTCAAAACTCTCATCCATAACTCATACAACGCTCGTCAACGCTATCGTGGTCTTAGGTCGTTCCTGATTCGTAGACTCAACAACCACGAGATTTCTAGAGTAGCTGGTTCGATTGAGTCCGAAATTCAAGCGTGGATTGATCGAGAGTTTATTGAAACCCTAACCCAAACACTGCGGAGAGCGGATGAGACTAAAGATGAGGTTTTAATCGATTTGATGGAGCAATTTGAAGAACGAATAGCGAGAGGATTTGATCGGGATTTACAGCATTGCATCCTCAGATCGAAGGTTTTCAACGAACTTGAAAAGATTCTCTGTGATTCTACATTCTCGAAGAACGTTCGAGAAGCATCTGCTTTCGCGATTGTCGAAATGATCACGTTCAACAAAGATGTGTTCGTAGGGGAAGTTCTGATGGGGAAAACAGTTTCTGCGTTGGTTTCGTTATCATCTGCTCGATCAATCCAAATCCTCTCTATACTAATTAAATCAATCAGAAGCCCCATCGTAGATGAACTCGTGTCAGACGGAGAAATCCCCAAAATCATAGCCTTCTTAGCCTCGGAAGACTTCTCAATCCGAACAATGGCGATGGACTGCGTGTTAGAGATTGGCTACTACGGTCGAAAGGAAGCCATTGACGCCATGTTGGAAGAGGGTTTGGTGAAGAAACTTGTGGAGTTGCAGAAATCTGAAATTGGAGGTGTGTTAATGGATGTTAGAGGTGAGAGTATGAACACTGTGATGCGACCATTTGAGAGCTGTGTAGCTAGATTTGCAGTGCAATTGGAGGTAGGAGAAGGGTTGAGACAACGAGAGAAAAGGGCATTAAAGCAACAAGTGTTGAAGAGAGTTAGAGCAGCCCATGTTTCTGATGCAGAAGCTGCCACCATTGTTGCAGAGGTTCTGTGGGGTTCTTCACCTTGAATTTATTTCGTAATATTTCTTTTTTTTTTTTTGCAAAATTTTTTAGCATTTTTAATTATCAAAAACATCTTACTTTTTATTTTCTTTTCAAATTCAAACGGTAGTTTTTTTTTTTTTTTTTAAAAATCGTCTTTTCTCAAGATCATGTAAAAAGAAAGCTCATGTATATAATATGGTTTTTAAGGGTAATCATTATTTTTGTTTCTTTTTCATACTCTTTTAATCGGTGTAATTATTGGTCATGTTTTATTGGGGTTGCGTTTTCTTTTAGTTATTCTTTGTTAAATTTAATATTATTTTGTTTTTTTTTTTCAATTAATTTGTAATTTTCTTATATTTATTTAAATTAAAAATTAAATTTGAAGTTTGATATGTTGCGAAATAAATGTATATCATTTTTTTATACATATCTAAGCTAAGAAGTAACTATTACTTTGTTAGGCGTATCATAATAGGTTGCTGAGCTTGTATTTCCTGTTTCGTGTATGATTATTAAATATACATAAAATAACATACAAAGTTGATTATGTGCACTACAAGTTATATATTATTATTTAATATTATCGATTCTGATTTCTTATGAATAATTTTAATATTCTACAATAGTTTTTAAACGATGTAATTTAGGCATCACCAGTCATCTTAAGCCAACAGATCAGTTGCCAATTCCAAATTTGCACACCAAATTCCATAATTTATCAAATATACTCTTGTAATATATTTTAATAATACACATCGTCTTCTTTTGCATGTGTAAACAAAGTTCTAAAAAATTTGTCATGGCGTGCCGCGGCTCCAAGGTTTTCACCTACCGCTAAGCTTTGACAAAACGTCGTCTTAATTCATATATGTGTATAAAAATGAATAATAGTTGAAAATACATATAAAAATATTAATTATATAGAAAATTGCCGCCTTAAGTCACGTTTTACAAAAACGTGACTCGTCAAGGCTTGGAAAATCTTAAAACTTGATATTGCCGCAAAGTCACACCTTACGTTATTTATAACTTTGTGCTCTTACATAAAAAGTAAAGTTGATAATCTGTATACAATACTTTTTAACCACATAAAATAAATTATGCATTAAATGATTGTATAATACCATTATTTAATTCATAAGTTGTACATAGTTAAAAAATATTACTGCTTAATAAAACGGTCATATACCAAAGGGCCAATGTCGTAGCGGTATGGAGTGACCATCTCATATGAGAGGTCAAGAGTTTAAGTCTCGGTGGAGATATAGGTAGTTATTTAGGAGTAGATTAGTTAGTTTGCCGTTTCAAAAAAATTAAAAAAATAAAATAAAATAAAAAATTATAATAAAATGGTCATATATATATATATATATATATATATATATATATATATATATATATATATATATATATATATATATATATATATATATATATATATATATATATATATATATAATTGGACGAGAGGTATCCAAATCCAATAGCTATAGTGACATGTGCTTTTCCTGTGGTCATGCAGTAGTGATCAATGTGAACTTTACTTCTACACATACACATGTTGAATTATTCAAATCAACAAAGATAGACATTTCATCACATTTCATCACACCGACAATGGTCAAAATCAATATGTGGATTTATCACAATTTAGATGGATTTATCTCATGAAAGAAAAGAGTGATGTGTTACACACTTCAAAAAGTTCACAGCTTTGGCGAAGAATGAAATCGGAAAGTCTTTGAAACTTTTTAGAAGTGATCGAGGAGGTGAATTTACTTCTCTCAAGTTTAATACATTTTGTGATCAAAACAGAATCAAACACCACCTAAACGCCCCATATTCACCGCAACAAAATGGAATTATGGAACGAAGAAACCGAACACTTATGGACATGACACGAAACATAATGAAGGCAATGCATGTTCCAAATTATTTATGGGGAAAAGCGGTAAAACACTCTACCATATTGACCAATCACGTTTACACACGAGTCCTTAGTGATACAACTCCATACGAAAAATTGTATAAAAGAAAACCAGATTTAGAAAATGTTCATATCTTTGGGTGTCTAGCATATGCAAAAGTTGAACCGGTAAATCTTAAGAAGTTGGATGCAAGATCAAGACCACTAGTACATCTTGGTTTCGAACCAGGTACAAAGACTTATTGGCTATTTGACCCAACAACACAAAAAATAATCGTGAGCCGAGACATTATTTTTGATGAAACCAAAGGTTGGGATTAGGTTAAAGAAGCAATAACCGACAATGAAGAACTGGGCACATTCATAGTACCATGGGACTACCTGGAAGACGAGGCGAGCAACAATCAAGGAAACGATAAACAATGATTCAATTGAACTGATTGAATCAGATCACGAGTTTGAAGACGGACCAGAAGTACAAGATAATGAATAACCAAGTCTGGTCAATAATAATGTTCAACAAGGAGTTGCAAACCAAAGGCCCTCGAGACCAAGAGTACCTCCAAAACGATTTCAAGATTATGAGCTTGATCTTGATAATCTCGAAGAACTTCTCCTAACAAACAATGATGAGCTGGTATCGGTTGAAGAAGCAAAGAAAGAATTGGAGTGGGTCAAAACCATGAATGTGGAAATCAATTCGATAAACAAGAATAATACTTGGACTCTTGTGAACAAGCCTATGGGGGTGAAGCCAATCGGACTCAAATGGGTGTTCAAATTGAAGAAAAATGCAGACGACACCATTAATAAATACAATGTAAAGTTGGTTGCTAAAGGTTACGTGCAACAATCCAATATTGATTTTCAAGAAGTATTTGCTCCAGTAGCTCGAATTGAAATCATCCAATTTCTTATAGCCTTAGCCGCTACTAATGGGTGAGAGCTTCATCATTTAGATGTTAAAATGACATTCTTGCATGGAGATTTGAAGGAAACCATTTACGTATCACAACTGGAAGTCTATATGGTCTAAGACAAGCACCTCGAGCATGGCCTTACAATAGCATTATATGGTCTAAGACAAGCACCTCGAGCATGGAACACGAAGCTTGATAGGATTTTGAAGAGTATGAAATTTCAAAACTGCATGAAAGAACCATCGGTGTATCCGAAAAATGAAGGAGCTAACTTGTTAATTTTAGCAATTTATGTTGATGAGTTATTTGTTACAAATACAAATTTGAGCATGATTAAAAGATTCAAGATGGAGATGTTAAAGCATTTCTAGATGTCTGATCTTGGAAGATTAACTTACTACCTTGGCATTGAAGTTAAACAAGAAGAATCGGGGATTACTATAAACCAAGAAGCGTATGCTTAACGCATTCTAAAATAAGTTGGTTTACATGATTGCAATCTGACCCACATTCCAGTGGAACCAGGAAATGAATTTTTGAAGGCCGAAGATGAACTCGAAATCGACCCAACACAATATCGAAAGGTAATAAGATGCCTTAGATATCTCTTGCAAACAAGTACTTATATGACATATGCGATTGGAGTTGTTAGCCGATACATGCAAAGTCCAAGAGAATCACATGGTGGTGCAATCAAACACATCCTAAGGTACTTACGAGGAACAACAGGATACAAAATCAAGTACGATAGGATGGGACAAAATCGACTTAATGGTTATAGTGATAGCAGTCACAATGTTGACTCAGATGACGGAAAAGGTACAACCGGTCACATTTTCTACTATGGGTCATCCCCAATAACATGGTATTCGCAAAAGCAAGATACCATTGCTTTATCATATTGCGAGACAGAGTTCATGGCGGCCACCGCGACCGCATGTCAAGCAATATGGCTTCAAGATTTGTTAGGAGAAATCATGTACAAAGCGCAAGATAACGTGGTTCTAAGAGTTGATAACAAGTCAGCGATCAAACTAACAAAGAATCTCGTTTTTCATGGAATGAGTAAACACATCAATACAAGGTCTCACTTCATTCGTAATTGTGTTGAAAACGAACAAGTAGAGGTGGAGTATGTTTGCGGTGAAGAACAATAGGAAGACATTCTTACAAAACCACTAGCTCAAACCAAGTTCAAGGAAATGCGGAGCTTGATCGGGATCGTAGACATATCTAGAAGGACTTAGAGATTCGGTGGTGATTGTTGGAATCCTAGGCCTTGGGGTTCAAGTAATCATAATATGGCAAGTTGGTCATGTTTCCTAATACCAATCTAATAGCAAGTTAGTGATTAGATCCTATAAAAACATTGTCTTAGCCATGTTAGGATATGAGAAAACAATTGCAAACTACTAAGTTTTGAGCAATTTTCTCATTAATCAAAGAGCTATTTTGATTAAATAGTTTTGCAATTTAGTTTCTTTTCATTATAGGGATTACCTACTAAATAAGAGAGCACCCATGTGAGTTAGTTACGTAAATGGTGATTACATTCGTGCTTCTCCATGATACAACCGACTAGTATATATATAGCCTCTAATGGAAATATGATTTACGATTGAATGAATTTGAAAACCATCTCCTCATATTTTCCTTTTGATTTCTCATTTAGCTAATCAATTTACTAGATTATTCTCTATTTTAGTCCCAAGGGTTGGTTGGAACTCACCATTGGCTGATTATCTCACTGTGGAGAATCAGATCTTATCACCAAGTTGTAACACTGTAAATTTTCATATAAAATTTTCAATTTTAAAATCACATAAATATCATCTACACATATCACAAAATCTCAATATATCAATTATAAAAAACACATGTTCATAATGATTTGAATAAAATCCAGGATCCTCGAACACAACTCCATCTCGTGTGTACAATCAAGCTGACGCCTTCCCGTGATCCTGAGAAGTACCTGAAACATATAACACATAACATGGTAAGCACGAAGCTTAGTGAGTTCCCCAAAATACCACATACAACTCATTAGCCACTCGAGGCTATAAATCTGTTAGACCCTCCGGTCTATGTGTCTCAGTGGGACCCTCCAGTCCCATAGCTCGTTGGACCATCTGGTCCGGTCTCAGTGAGGACCCTCCGGTCTCACAGCTCG